ATTTCATAAAAAAACGTCAAATAATCAAGATATGATGACCGTAACAATACAGGGTTTTATTTGCGACAGGTACAATCTTAATGGAAGTCAACATGGATTTTCAACGTTTAAAACACTAGATTGTTACGATCATATTATATTCATAGCTCCACGGTATCTCACGCCATTCAAACTACTTATGCTACACATCGTGAAAACTAATTGCACCAAATTTCATTTTAATCCATTTTGTATTTCTTGAGTAGTTCATCGGAAACGAGGTTGTTCTTTTTGTTCAGTTGTGCAGCAGCTGTGTTGATGCGTTGTTGAGACCACTATTTATTCGGCGCGCCCTCTCATTATAGTTGTCTCGATCTCCACCACCAAACTAGATAGGGGGCCAACAATTCAAAAAATACTCGTTACATTAAACTTAATTTTTGCACACTCATTTGACATGATGTTTGACATCAAAAGATTTAATTTCATAAAAAAAGTCAAATAATCAAGATATTATGACGGTAAAAATACAGGGTTTTATTTGCGACAAGTACAATCCTAATGGAAGTCAACATGGATTTTTAACGTTTAAAACATTAGATTGTTACGATCATATTATATTTATAGCTGCACGGTTTCTCACGCCATTCAAACTACTTATGCTACACATCGTGAAAACTAATTGCACCAAATGTTAATTGAATCCATTTTGTATTTCTTGAGTAGTTCATCGGAAACGGGGTTGTTCTTTTTGTTCAGTTGTGCAGCATCTGTGTTGATGCGTTGTTGAGACCACTATTTATGTGGCGCGCCCTCTATTATAGTGGTCTCGATCTCCACCACCAAACTCGATTTGGGGCCAACAACTCAAGATATACACGTTACATTAAACTGAATTTTCGCACACTCACTTGTCATGATGTTTGACATCAAAAGATTTAATTTCATTAAAAAAACGTCAAAATAATCAAGATATTATGACCGTAACAATACAGGGTTTTATTTGCGACAAGTACAATCCTAATGGAAGTCAACATGGATTTTTAACGTTTAAAACACTAGATTGGTACGATCATATTATATTTATAGCTCCACTGTGTTGATGCGTTGTTGAGACCACTATTTATGTGGCGCGCCCTCTATTATAGTGGTCTCGATCTCCACCACCAAACTCGATTTGGGGCCAACAACTCAAGATATACAATTTACATTAAACTGAATTTTCGAACACTCACTTGTCATGATGTTTGACATCAAAAGATTTAATTGCATTAAAAAACGTCAAAATAATCAAGATATTATGACCGTAACAATACAGGGTTTTATTTGCGACCAGTACAATCCTAATGGAAGTCAACATCGATTTTTAACGTTTAAAACACTAGATTGTTACGATCATTATTATATTTATAGCTCCACGGTTTCTCACGCCATTCAAACTACTTATGCTACACATCGTGAAAACTAATTGCACTAAATTTCAATTTAATCCATTTTGTATTTCTTGAGTAGTTCATCGGAAACGAGGTTGTTCTTTTTTTTTCAGTTGTGCAGCATCTGTGTTGACGCGTTGTTGAGACCACTATTTATGTGGCGCGCCCTCTCATTATAGTGGTCTCGATCTCAACCACCAAACTAGATTGGGAGCCAACAATTCAAGAAATACACGTTACATTAAACTTAATTTATGCACACTCATTTTACATAAAGTTCGACATCAAAAGATTTAATTTCATAAAAAAACGTCAAATAATCAAGATATTATAACCGTAACAATACAGGGTTTTATTTGCGACAAGTACAATCCTAATGGAAGTCAACATGGATTTTTAACGTTTAAAACACTAGATTGTTACGATCATTATTATATTTATAGCTCCACGGTTTCTCACGCCATTCAAACTATACTTATGCTACACATCGTGAAAACTAATTGCACCAAATTTCAATTTAATCCATTTTGTATTTCTTGAGCTAGTAGTTCATCGGAAACGAGGTTGTTCTTTTTGTTCAGTTGTGCAGCATCCGTGTTGATGCGTTGTTGAGACCACTATTTATGTGGCGCGCCCTCTCATTATAGTGGTCTCAATCTCCACCACCAAACTAGATTGGGGAGAACAATTCAAGAAATACACGTTACATTAAACTGAATTTTCGCACACTCATTTGTCATGATGTTTGACATCAAAAAGATTTAATTTCATAAAAAACGTCAAATAATCAAGATATGATGACCGTAACAATACAGGGTTTTATTTGCGACAAGTACAATCCTAATGGAAGTCAACATGGATTTTTAACGTTTAAAACACTAGATTGTTACGATCATATTATATTTATAGCTCCACGGTTTCTCACGCCATTCAAACTACTTATGCTACACATCGTGAAAACTAATTGCACCAAATTTCAATTTAATCCATTTTGTATTTCTTGAGTAGTTCATCGGAAACGAGGTTGTTCTTTTTTTTTCAGTTGTGCAGCATCTGTGTTGATGCGTTGTTGAGACCACTATTTATGTGGCGCGCCCTCTATTATAGTGGTCTCGATCTCCACCACCAAACTCGATTTGGGGCCAACAACTCAAGATATACACGTTACATTAAACTGAATTTTCGCACACTCACTTGTCATGATGTTTGACATCAAAAGATTTAATTTCATAAAAAAACGTCAAAATAATCAAGATATTATGACCGTAACAATACAGGGTTTTATTTGCGACAAGTACAATCCTAATGGAAGTCAACATGGATTTTTAACGTTTAAAACACTAGATTGGTACGATCATATTATATTTATAGCTCCACTGTGTTGATGCGTTGTTGAGACCACTATTTATGTGGCGCGCCCTCTATTATAGTGGTCTCGATCTCCACCACCAAACTCGATTTGGGGCCAACAACTCAAGATATACAATTTACATTAAACTGAATTTTCGCACACTCACTTGTCATGATGTTTGACATCAAAATATTTAATTGCATTAAAAAACGTCAAAATAATCAAGATATTATGACCGTAACAATACAGGGTTTTATTTGCGACAAGTACAATCCTAATGGAAGTCAACATCGATTTTTAGCGTTTAAAACACTAGATTGTTACGATCATTATTATATTTATAGCTCCACGGTTTCTCACGCCATTCAAACTACTTATGCTACACATCGTGAAAACTAATTGCACCAAATTTCAATTGAATCCATTTTGTATTTCTTGAGTAGTTCATCGGAAACGAGGTTGTTCTTTTTGTTCAGTTGTGCAGCATCTGTGTTGATGCGTTGTTGAGACCACTATTTATGTGGCGCGCCCTCTATTATAGTGGTCTCGATCTCCACCACCAAACTCGATTTGGGGCCAACAACTCAAGATATACAATTTACATTAAACTGAATTTTTGCACACTCATTTGTCATGATGTTTGACATCAAAAGATTTAATTTCATAAAAAAACGTCAAATAATCAAGATATTATGACCGTATTAATACAGGGGTTTTTTTGCGACAAGTACAATCCTAATGGAAGTCAACATCGATTTTTAACGTTTAAAACACTAGATTGTTACGATCATATTATATTTATAGCTCCACGGTTTCTCACGCCATTCAAACTACCTATGCTACACATCGTGAAAACTAATTGCACCAAATGTTAATTGAATCCATTTTGTATTTCTTGAGTAGTTCATCGGAAACGGGGTTGTTCTTTTTGTTCAGTTGTGCAGCATCTGTGTTGATGCGTTGTTGAGACCACTATTTATGTGGCGCGCCCTCTATTATAGTGGTCTCGATCTCCACCACCAAACTCGATTTGGGGCCAACAACTCAAGATATACACGTTACATTAAACTGAATTTTCGCACACTCACTTGTCATGATGTTTGACATCAAAAGATTTAATTTCATTAAAAAAACGTCAAAATAATCAAGATATTATGACCGTAACAATACAGGGTTTTATTTGCGACAAATTTCAATTGAATCCATTTTGTATTTCTTGAGTAGTTCATCGGAAACGAGGTTGTTCTTTTGTTCAGTTGTGCAGCATCCGTAACAATATGATCCTCCGAATTCATTTATTCTTGAAAATTGTAGCAAAAGCAAAGGTTGTATAATTTCCTTTAACCCTAAAGGGTCGGGTTAGTTTGACCACCTCTCAGCCGGGGGTGGGGTGGATTCTGCCCCCCCCCCCGCCCTAAAAACCTCGACCTTCGAGCCACGAAAAATTGTAAAACAACTTATCATAAACATACCCAAGAAATTTCATAACTATTGGTCAAAGGGTTTTTGGATTGATGGGTAATTAATTATTCATATGCACAAATGGTAATTTTGCTCTGTGTACACGACGAATATGGGGAAATTCAGTTTTTAAGGCGCGTAGCGCCGGACGGCAACCCGTGGTTTGTTTTTTATGTTTTTGGTATCAAAAGATGCGCAAGGCTCGGGGCTAAAAAGTCATAACAGTTCGTTTGGCGGAAAGAAATTCAAGGCTATCGCAGAAAAAGTCGAGGCGGCAGATTCCGCCCCGGCCCCTTTAGGGTTAAACAAAGAAGAATTCTAAGGTGGGGACTTTCTTTTTGGTCGAGTGTAGTTATTTTTACAGTTCTGTTGGGGAGACTAAATAAATGATCAGGGAAGATTGGGCTTGAAGAGTGACTGCCCTAACAAAATCCTAACAAAGTACTGCATTTCAACCAAAATCTTAAACGTTGGGAAGTGTTTATAAAGTTAAAGCAGTTTCGCCAAAAAAAAATAATGGAACAGTACAGAATTAATCACCCAAGATATTCTTTTTGGCACTCTAACCAAACAAGCCAAATTTCTCAAACGCTTTAAGGAAGTCACAGTCCAGAAAATAATCATTTCCAGACTTCAAAACGTCTCAGGTCAGTTATTATAGCCATGATCAGTGAATGGTAGGAATTTGCATTGTGATGCTCTAGTGGGTGCTTTGTGTTTAGAATCTATACAAATACGCTCATTACCGAACCTGTTATCTGCTTGACAACAACAACAGAAACGCCACGTGCCTTCAGTTCACAGCTATTGCAGTGTCACCCTCGTCGTGTTGACTAAGACTTCCTTTGCTAAAGGGCGAACCTGTTGTACAGACCGTAAGTTCCTTCTTGTAATTTGGGACTCTTTCGTTTGTCATCACTCGGGGACATAAAATAACAGTTCACATTTTGTGATTATGACTGAGAATTGTTTTTCTTCTATTTCGAGCTCAATTGTTATGATCATAAATGGGCATGTCAGGGTCGGCATTGACGATTACATTGATGGTGGGAACATAGTCTAGTTTTTATTGTCGCAATGTTTTTGGTTTACCACGGTATCTGTAAATTTGTTACAATCTTTTTATGTTATAATATCATGATCAAATATTGGAATGTGTTTTCTTCATTCTTTTTCTGCAATTAAAAGTGACTTTCCTTTGAATCGGACTTTTCGCAATTAATACACTATTTTGCACACCTCCTGGATTGTCCTAGATCATTTGCAACGACACCAGAGGTGATTCTGCATTCCTCCAGGAGCACGGGCTTCAGCTTGGTTTCCAGCGCTGCATGGACATTTGGGGACGCCAAGTCAACTGTAGCAAATTCTGAAAGTGAGTATTATTTTGGATGGCGTTTAAATCTTACCTTCTCGTATATACAAAACTGAAGAAAATCGCTCAAAAAGTTAATTCCTCGTGTACATCATCTACAATTTTAGTTTGAATCCATAGGAAAACAACATAATTATTATGGATCTAAAGTGGGACCTTTTTACACTTAGTAGTGCACCCTCTGTTGGAAGAAATAGATGACAGCAAAAAACGGAGTTTGCTTACACGTTGTAGTTTTTATTGTGGCATTTTTTTTTTTAAGGTTCCTGTCATTTTTTTTCTTCAAAACTGTTTTGTTATACATCATGAATAATTATTGGACGAAATTTCAATTCAATTCAACGCGCTTTCCTTTAGGTATCGGAACCATTAACAAAGAGTGGATATTTTTTGTTCAAGATTTCAGTCGATTTTTTTTCTTCAAATCTTTACATTGCGACTAAATATTCAACAAAATTTCCTTCAAAAGTAATTCCAATTAACAACGTTTTTTTTCACGATAAAAATACTGCTTTCTTCAATCATATAAGAATAAAATTTTCCCAAGATTCCCTTCAATTTTCAATCATGTTGCGTCACATATCACGGCCAGTAATGCGACGCAATTTTAATCATATGGGATGCGTTATTCTGCAATATTATCTCCACAAAGAGTGTGGTATTTTTGTCAAATGGGTACATCGTGACACACATTGACGGACGTCTTCGTTTTTTGCAAGAAATTGAAGGAAGCAATCATGGTGTACGTATACAGGGTGTTTCAAAAAAAAGGAAACCCAATTTCAAAGAATGAGTATGGACTTACGATATGTTTACTGGCTATAAAACTGGTATCATCTGAAAGCGTAATCTCTATGCTTTTCAATGATACCGTGTTTAGGTTTTCTGAGTCATGCATCACTGAGCATCATTGTCTTGAAAACTGAATGCAAAAATGCACTTGGTTCACTTTCATAAAAAAAAACCCACTGGGTACGGTGTGCCTATTGTTACGGAAATGTCTTTGAAATGGCTTGAATGTCAATTCTCGGGAAAATGGCAGATTGTTTTGAACGTGGCTTGGTCAAAACGAGAATTAATGACAAACAAAATCCAGTTTTGAAACCAACCCGACTTGTTTTTTTTTATTTCTTTTGATGCACCCGTGTTATCTTCTTGAATACTTATTCCCATGCACACCATGCCTATTGTGTTTGACATGAAAGTGAACCAACTGCAATTTTGCATCCAGTTTTGAAGACAATGATGCTCAGTGATGCAAGGCCCTGGAAATGTAAACAAGGTATCATTGAAAAGCATAGAGATTACGCTTTTATATGAAAGCGGTTTCACAGCCAGTAAACATTTAGTCTGTCCATACTTGTTCTTCAAAGTTGGGTTTCCTTTTTATTGAAACACCCTGTATAGCGTCGACACTTTTTGCTTTATTGTCGTGTATTCTTTTCCTACGAGGTTTCTGTCCAGGTATTTTTTATGTCATTACGTGACGACTAATTATCGACTGATATGTTCAAATATCTATTATTCTGGAGTAATTGTATCCAACATGTTACTTTCATTCAATTATTATAAAGTTACTTTAATTCCCAATTAATTTTTTTTTTTGCGATTAAAACACTAAATTGTCATTAAATGACATTACATTATTTTATTCTTCTTCTGTTCCTGTCAAGTTTCTTACTTTCTGTGTCAAAAAAGCGATGAGCTATTTTGCAATAATTGTCTCTAGAAAGAGTGATTTATTTTTTTTCAACAAAAAGTGACTTTCGTTATGAATTTGTCATGATTTTTATAAATCATATTAAATTTATTCCGCAATGGCTTTCATCAATTTTCAAACTTGTGTAAAATATAATGGACAATAATAGGACGCAATTTTCATTAAATGCGATGTGTTCTGCAGTCATTATGTCTTAAAAAACATGTTTTATTGTTCGCAGATTGTCATCTGCATTATACAAATATCTTAAAGGTGCTGACCAGTGTTTGTGTAGGACGCCCTCTTTTGGAAGAAATCGACGGTAGCAAAAGCTACGTACGGAGCGTCCAAACAATTGTTTTATTGTCTTTTATTGTTTCTTCCCAGGTTTCCGTCGGGGTTTTTGTGTGTGTCAGTACATCATGACTAATTATTGTCAAGTTTTCATATCAATACAATTTATTTGGGTGGGGGATTATTGTCTCTATAAATAGTGTTTTACGTTTTTCAATTCAATGTGACTTAAATTTGCAATCAATTTTTGGGGGGTTTGAATTTTTCCACGGTTCTTGTCAATTTAAGTTGCTTAGTGGGTTTGAGGATTCATTGTGGCTTATTACAAAAGAAATTGACGGCTGATCCCATTCCCAGTAGTTAAGTCAACTTTACTGTAACATAAACAACAACCTTGATTTACAGACAAAAACTCAAGATATATCCGTTACATTAAATTGATATTTCATACGCTTATTAAACATGATTTGTGACCCCTTTCTGTTGAATTTGAACATTTTGAAGAAGAATCGTCGAATAGTTAAATAATAAAACATTGCAATGTACTGTATTAAGCGCGTAAAATACCAGGCGATTCTGGAATGCAGATTATAAAGCACGTAAAATACCAAGCGAATTCAAGTGAACTTTACTATAACAAAACAACATACATGTTGTTACTTGGTTTCCAGACAAAAACTCAAGAAATACATTTTGCAATGAATTGCAATTTCGTATATTGATAAAACGTGATATCTAATACAAGTCTGTTGAAATTGTAGACAAATTGTCATCAAAAAACCCATTATAAACAAAGCAATGTGGTGAAATAAGCGGGTAAAAATACCAATCGATTTTCGGTAAACTTTACTATTTCCAGACAATGAATCAAGAAGTATTCGTTGCATTAAATTGACATATCACACGCTTAATAAACATGATATGTGACTCCTTTCTGTTGAATTTGAAGAGGAATCGATCAACAGTTAAAATAATATCAAACAGAGCAATGTAGGATTGCTAAGCGCGTAAACTACCAGGCGATTTGAAGTCAACTTTTCTGTAACATTAACAACCAACTTGATTTCCAGACAATAACTCAAGATTTATCCCGTACCTTAAAATGACATTGAATCCACTTATTAAACATGATATACGACCCCTTACTGTTGAATTTCAAGAATAATCGTCAAATGGTTAAAATAATATTAACCAGTGACGCACCCAGGGTTTGGTTTTAGGGCGGGGGGGGGGGGGAGGGCTCAAAATATGTCTGTTTACAAAATACAGTTTTGTTTGTTTTTGTTTTCAAAAATTTTGCCCAAATTTTTTGGCCGCATAAAAAAATGGTGTTTTTTTAAGGGGCGGCCTATTTTGACGTTAGTGGCGCCACTTACACCCCTATTAAACTACTCGAAAACAGGCCACATTAATAATCTCCAAGGCCAAAATCGTGGGACTAAAGAGTTCTGAGTATTTTAAAAAGATTTTATAACAATTATTTCTTTTCAAAGAGCGGGCGTGCTACACAAACACTGCTCACCACGCTCCGACGTCTGGCCATTCGAGATGTAAACACAGTTATTGTGCAAAAAGGGAACTCAAGATGAACACATTGTATTGCATTGAAATTTCATGTTATGTTTTGCAATGGTATTTGACACGAAAATCTAGAAAATTGACACGAACCTCCGAAGGTGGAATGTAATATAATTAAAGGAAATTGCAGTATGAAGGACACTTCGTATTTTATCCTCATGCAAGAATTTCGAACAAAAGAGGGAGCGCTACACAAACACTGCTCACCGCGTTCCGACAAAATATTTTGGTTACAAATTTGTTAGTGCCGGCCTATTTTGACGCCAGCTAATCGTGGGACTAACAAAAAAAAATGACAACCTCTGGGGGGGGGGGCTCAAAAGGAAATTGCAGTATGAAGGACACTCTGTATTTTCTCGTCATGTCAACACAGTTATTGTGAAATTGGGAACTCGAGATAAAAACATTGTATTGCAATGACATTTCCTGTAATATTTTGTCATGGTATTTGACACGAAACTCTAGAAACTTGACGGAAACCGCCGAAGAATAATGTAATACAATTTAAGGGAATTGCAGTACGAAGAACACTCCGTATGTTATCGTCATGCAACAATTTCTTACAAAAGAGGGTGCTGCACAAACACTGCTCACCGCACTCCGACGTCTTGCCACCGACGTCTTACTGTAAAAGCAAGTAAATATATACTAAATAAATTTTACTGCAGGAATACGGAACGCTTTTTTTGCTGGCAGCAAAATTTCCGGAAAAGTTTTTTCGTTTCGTAAAATAAACAGACCATTAACATGAGTTTGGACATGTGTACACGGTACACTTGGATTACTATAATGTGTAGGTGTTTGGGCCGATGTGGTTGATTGTAATCATGCTAATAAGCATAATTAATATCTGCAATTACGCAAAGTCCGTAAAATTACGGCGAAATTTACGGACATGAAGAAGAATACTGAATAGTCAAACAGTTATGAACAAAGCAGTGTAGATTGTAAAGCGCGTAAAATACTAGGCGAATTTAAGTCAACTTTACTATTGCAAAACAACATACTTGGTTTCCAGACAAAACCTCAAGAAATACCTTTTGCACTTAATTACAATTTCGTTAATTACAATTAAACGTGATATTTGATACAAGTTTGTTGAATTTGTAGACGAATCGTTATAAATGAAAAAATAATAAACAACACAATTTAGTGTAGTGCGCGCGCAAAATACCAGGTGATTGTTGGTAAACTTAACTATAACAAACACAACACACTTAGTTTCCAGACAATAAATCAAGAAACATTCGTCGCATCAAATTGACATATCATTCGCTTGTTAAACATGATATTTGACCTCATTCTGTTGAATTTGAAGGAATATCATCCAACACTTTAAATAATATAAACAAAGAAATCATGGGCGTCGCCAGGATTTTTTCTAGAGGGGGGCAAAACAATCTTTTTTGCCAAACAATGCTTGTATTTC